TTCGGTGATGACATCATGGATGAGGAGGTAAAATAAAATATTTAGCCCTAAATCATATCATTAACAATGGACAGCAACAAAACATTATGCATGTGATGCTTAAGTTACTATAAAAATGATTTTGGCATAGTTCTTGTTTTCCCACACCACCTCACTGACAATAACAGTAGTTTTAATAAAAGTAATAATAAAATTAGTATTAGTACAGTAAAAATATTAGTACTGTAGTAAATTGATAGTGATAATAATAATAGTAAAACAACAATAACAACAACAAAATAAAAATAGTAGTAATGTTATCAATAATAATAATAATAATAATAATTGGAATATTAATAATAATACTAATAATAACAATAGTAACAACAAAATAACATTTTTTTTACTACAATAAAAATGTTGATAATATTGTTATTGGTGATAATAACAACGACTAACAATAAAAATAATAACAAAAATCACAATAAAAATAATAGTAATGTTATCAACAACAATAATAATAATAATAATAATAATAATCGAAATAATAATATTAATAATAGTATGTCTTTCTTACCCTGTTATTGTGGACGTAGGTTATGTTTCCATTTTTGTGTGTTTTTGTGTATGCATGTTTAAAAAAAATACTGTTATTGTTTGTTGTTGTTATATTTTAATATTATTTTTGATCCAACAGATGTCCCTATACATCCATGATAATTTCACGAATTCATGGTCTACCTGAAGAAGCCGAGGAAATGCAACGGTATTGTAAAGAAGATACTGTACACTGTAAGTACTCATGTTGAATCAGTAATCAAACAAAAACACAGACACAGACACCCACACACACACACATTTATCTCGTTTTTTTCTCTCGTTTTTTTCTCTGGAAGAAAAAAGTTTTCTTCCTGATTTGAATTTAACAGACACCCGTCCTACAGCGGCGTTACCCATTATTTACTTCTGTATTGACAGTCTCACTCTTATCATTATGAAAAAGTTATATGCCTATTAATAAAGTTTTCCGCGATTTACGATACACCAACATCCTTTCGACCCACAATGTTTGATGGCGACTTAAATACATGGTTGCTGTGAAGAATGTTTTGAGACTACATATATTCTTAAAAAGAATAAAGCAGATTATTAAGATTTGTCCATGCTCGGTACATTAATAACATGAGAATATTTCATAATCTATACTTAACCTTTTTCTCAATAGGAATACATTTAATTACATGCGGTTTGTGACCAATAAAGAGGCAATCGTGTACCTGACACAGAAGAAGTACAAATTGCCGTATGATGAAGCCGACAAATGTTATCGGGAAACGGAATTCAATTTTAGAGCGGCATTTAAATCTTCATTGAAGCTACAAAAGAGATGAAATTCTTTGGTTTTACCTTTATGTTTTAATATGGTTTATTAATATTATCATTATTAATAATAGTATTATTATTATTGTTATCATTATTATAATTATTATTGTTATTAATCTTGTAGTACTTTTTTTACACAATTGTTTACATAGGCATACCTACTGAATGTACTATAAAAATTTATGGTTTTGTTTTTCATGCTCGACTTTGTTTTCCTCATATAGTCTGGTAAAAATTAACTTGTTATAAATCCAAAATGCTTTGTAATAATGATATCTCTTATGATATGTGGCACGGTCAAGCCAAATCTGCCACTTTTCACTTGATTATACAGTATAGCCTAGTGCCTACTGTATAATGAAAATTTCATAGAAAATCAAAATTTATTTTATCACGTAAAATTAACAATTACGCATATAAGTACCATGATACATAGACATTTTTTGCAATTTTAAAGAGCAAAAGTACAATTTTAGACAATTCAAGAGGGTCTTTTTGTGTAAAATGTTAAATCCCGGCAGCTGAGTTGAACAATTTTACTTACTGTATATTCAGATCATTTCCCCACGTCGCCAGGACTCAAAATCGTGAATGAATTGTTGTGAATTGAAGTTGCACTTTCCACTTTATAAAAATTTTTCATATTCAATTTGTTACTTTTATCCGAGCTTATTTTTGATTTGTCTCCTTTTGATTTTGGTTTTTTTAAATTTCCATTGACGCCCTGTTATGTACGTGCGCCGATGATGTAAAAGTGGTGCCGATTTAAATAAAGAATGTATATTTAGTGTTATTGTGTTGTCTTTACAAAAAAAAAGCTTTTAATGCAGCCAAAGTTGGATAGCACAGCTTTGAAGGTCCGAAGCCCTCAAATGCAGACGGAAAAGCTTCATCTTTATTATTACTATCAATCTCATCGATATCACCATTATTTAATTTATTATCTTCATTAGTGTTTTTATTATTATATTAATATTTTTGCAGCAACTGACAGATAATAAAGTAAATGATGATGATGATGATGATGATGATAATAATAATAGTAGTAATATATTGACATGACAATGAAACAATGATTTATAGTGAACTGAGTATTGTTATCTGAGCTTCAAATATATTGCAAGTCCAAGTATTGTGATAATAATGAATGTGTTCCAGAACTAGTTTAGTAGAAAAGCACGAATATTATTATAACACGGTATTAATTTAACACGGTATGCTGAAAAATAAGAAGCAAGTAAGAGACCTGTATATAAGTGTGAAAAATCAATAAAAACCACCAGAAAAGAAATAAGGAGAAAACAGAGAAACGAACATACTCCATTTATGCAAAACACAAAATACCTAATCGGATTGACAGTGTAATATCATTGTTTATTCCATAATTACTTAAAAACAAAACGTATCGCTTATCCAACGTTGCCATAATGGGAGTGGGGGCAGCGTTATTACCAGACCAACTGTCCGAAAGACATTTCTGAAGGGGATTAGCCTGGATGAAAATTCCTGACTTCTTACCAGAACACAGTCTTGTCCTTTGACGTGTTTTTAATCAGACATGTGCGCAAGTAGAACCAAAATGGGTATAGTAGCGCACAGTGATAAACTGCACAAAATAATAATAATAATTGATTTTTATCCTATAGGGGCCTACATTATCAATGTGTGCAACTAGAACCGAAATGGGTATAGTAGTGCACAATGATGAACTGCACATCACTGAATTGAATTTTATCCTATACATTATCACTGTGCGCAACTAGATCCAAAATGTGTATAGTTGCGCACAGTGATAAACTGCCCGTCACTGACTTTAATTGTATCCTATTCATTATCACTGTGCGCAACTACAACCAAAATGGGTGTAGTAGCGCACAACGATAAACTGCCGAGAAGCGATCGGATGGGAGCGACTCAAGAGAGCTGCGGTAAAACTGGATTTTTTTTTATTATTACAAGCTGGAATTGTCATATAATAGTGTAAATCGTGTAGCTAAAGGCATGTTTTGCATAATACATTAATATTTAAGGACTTTACAACTTGGAAGTTTGATTTTGAGCATGAGGTGAACTATGCATTCGATACACTGCCCATCAACTGAATTGAATTTTATCCTATTCATTATCACTGTGCGCAACTACTGTAGAACCAAAATGGGTATTGTAGCGCACAGTGATAAACTGCCCGTCACTGACTTTAATTGTATCCTATACATTATCACTGTGTGCAACTGAACCAAAATGGGTATAGTAGCGCACAGTGATAAACTGCCCGTCACTGATTTTAATTGTATCCTATTATTTATCACTGTGCGCAACTAGAACCAAAATGGGTATAGTAGCGCACAGTGTTAAACAATTGATTCCCTATTGTTACTAGAAATCGTATATACAGTATGTGATTCTGGCAACCATTTCGTTTACAAGATGGCTGAGAAGCGATCGGATGGGAGCCACTCGAGTGAGCTGCGGTAAAACCGAATTTTTCTTAATAATAGTGTAAATTGTGTAAGTAAAGGCATGTTTTGCATAATACATTAATATTTAAGGGAATTACGGCGCTAATGTACTTTCGCAAATAGGCCTAACTTTTAATTCTTATTTTTTTTACCTCAACGTTCTTCTCACAGTCACAACATATAATTAACAAACATGTTCACATGATTTAACCACTTACAAAGTACCTTTTTCAACAAATAAGCCCACAAATAAGAACAGCGAATCTGTGTTCGCTAGACGACGAGCAGCTGCCATTTTGCAATCAGTAAGAAATTGCCAGAATGTCTGAGTTTGCAGCGTGAAGTTTTTTGATGAAATGTTTATGAAAAGTTATCTCTTTGCCGTATTATGTATGTCATTCTTTATAATGTATGGTGCTGTTGTTTGACTATGTGTGTTCATATGAAATTCACACGTACAATAATTACTTCAAAAATTAGTAATGATCCAAATGCGTACACAGATCGAAAAATAGGGCCTAGGCCTAAATCCAGAAAAACAACTATTAAAGCCAATGATAAACGTCGGTTCGATTAACCTCGATTACGACAAGAAAGTTCAAAAAGATGGTACTGCATGATGCCACATTTTGTTGTCGGATGTTTCATGGGAAAATTACAATTAAAATTATAAGACTATGGCCTTAATGGTTTCAAAATTTAAGAATTGACTCGGACATTCTGGCAATTTCTTACTTGATTGCAAAAAAGTACAGCTCGTCATGCTAGCAAGCGCGGAAACAATAAAAAGGTATCTTTTTGTTGAAAAAAAGTACTTTATGAGTGGTTGAATCATTTAAAAATGTTTTATAAAATATGTGTTATGACTGTCTGTGATAAGAAAATTCAAGTAAAAAAATTAAGAATTAAAAGTTAGGTGCGAAAGTGCATTAGCGCCGGGAATTACAACTTGGAAGTTTGATTTTGAGGATGAGGTGAACATATGCATTAGCGCCGGCTAACCCTACCATACCAGGCCAAGGCCTAGACCTACAGCAAGTAGGCCTAGGCTAGGCCTTCTTCTTATTTATATGCCCTACCACTGACCAGGCCTAGGCCTACCCCCGAGGCCTATGTTAATCAATGCAATAGAGTCCTAATGACTAACATTGCATAATATAATATAAAAGTTGTCTTAACCTCTTGCACATCGATGAGGTGTGAAAAACTGCCGAATTACTTCAAAAACAGCAACCAAATACACTAATAGGATTGTACAAACACCTTTCATGCGCGCGTCCATGTTTACAATCACCCTGAGGGCGCACTCCATTGGTAGTACTGTAAATAGTAATTCTAGTAGTAAATCTTGTTTTGATAAAAAAAAAATAATAATAATGTTGAGGGTTGACGCCGTCTTACAACTATGGGTTTCTTTTAAAAGCTATCAGTTAGTAGAGAACTCAGAAACTAACTCCATTCACTAAGAAATAGAAAAATCATTTTTCATTATATGTGTTAATTGTTTCTTGTTTCTGTATTTTTAACAAACTTGATCGATCAATTTTAGATAGGCCCTACCTTATAACCCTGGTTGGTATTCAAACATTTTAAGCTGGGGGCCAGTTTCCATCTATTGATACCACCTGCGGGCCGACATAAATTTTACTTCCAATTTTTTTAATGTCAGCCCCACCCACTATTTAAGTCTTCCTAATAGGCCTATTTAGCTTTGGTTTTCGACATCATCTAAGATAAGCCTTGTTTTGTAAAAACGAGGGAACGCAGTTTGGCATAGGGAAGGGTGGAGGATACAACACATCTCCTACCTACCACTAAGAAATTTTCCACAAAAAAAAAAATATACCCTCATGTACTAAGTAGTGTTAAAAAAATGTCAGCACCAGAAAGCTCCCGACGAAGAGTCAGATTCCCTTTCCCTTGATTTACCTCAGCTCATGGTTGGGGCTAAGGTGCGAAAACAACAAATTAACTTAACACCTCCAGATTCCCTGAGATGGCACGTTTAGACTGTAAGACACATCAAAGCAGTGTTTTCAACAGAATGACGCCCAAAAGACTGCTCCACGGATCCGCCGGCAGGGGCGGATCCAGAGATGTCCAAAAAAGGGGTGGGGAGGGGAGGGGGAGGAGGCGAAAGGGGGAGCCGAAAGGGGTGCGAAATTTGGGCCGATCGAAACAACACTGAAATAGGAGGTCCAGGGGCATTCCCCCACGAAATTTCAATGATTATTTTTTAGGGATGTTGCGCAGGCCGGATCAAAATCTTTGGCGGGCTGGAGTTTGCCTGTGGGCCGGGGATAATAATATATCGGGGCCTTATAACTTTTGCCAGTTGGATGTGCAACTGAGTTTAAGCACAAATATGAATTTCACTCCAATTTACAAGGCCATTTCATTACGTTTCGCTTTTTTAAAGCATCATCAGGAATATAATAAAAAGAATATAATAAAAAGAATAATAATCGCTTTAGTTGCGATTGAAAAAAAAAAGTGTTTGATATTTTTTAAATCATGTTCGTTTTTATGTGTGAATAGGCTGAAACACGCGAATTTTCAACTGAAATGGAGCTACTATCTAAACTCAGGGGTGGCGCCAGGATTTGCTCGACGGGTGGGCCGAGGTCCCCGACGGAGGGTCCGATGCCCCGACGAGAGGTCAGATTTTCCCGATGAAAGCAAAGTGGGCGTAGTCGAGCTTCGATTAAAAGGCCTTCAAAGCCTGATCCGGGGGGGCGAAGCCCTCGAAAATTTTGAGAATTAAGGAGTTTCAAAGGCTTATTTAATCGATTTTAGAGTCTACTAATATGTAGAAAATACATATAATTGTTTTTTTTTTCTCTTCGACGAATTGTTCTTTTTCTCCCCGACGGGGGCCCGGCTCCCCTGCTGGCGGCACTCCTGTCTAAACTGTTAGTATAAATGAACGCAATTAATGGCAATGGGGGGAAATAGGATTCTGATAAACATTTAAAAGTTCATAATGGTATTTGGAAGATTGGCCCTACAATTAACACTTGCTCCGTTTTACGTCCTCGATGCAGTATCAGGATTAATTAAAAGGAGACATACTAACGTTTTTCGATGCTTTAGTTACGTCGAAAAACAGGGGATCGTCTTATACGCGCAACACATAAATGTTTGGTATTTAAATCATGTTCGTCTTTCAGGCTACTGAAATGGAGCTACTATCTAAACTATATCCGTAGCACCAGGGGCCTGTGGCGTCCCCCTGGCCCCAGCCTAGATGGACCTTATAAAATTACCCCCACCCCAACTTTCAAAAACGTTCCGCCGCCGTTGCTAAACTGTTAGTATGAATGAATACAAATAAATGGGTGGAAATAATAGGATTTTGATGAAAATTTAAATGCCCATAATGGTAATGGAAGATCGGCCCTATAACACTGGCTGTCTCCGTTTTTAGTCAGCTCGATGCAGTATCATGACCTTAAAAAGCAGCAAAAAGTAGGGATTGAGAAGATGAAGACGTCTTATAAATATAAGCCCGGCATACAAAAATCGTCTCGAATTCGGGGATCTGATACTGAGATTACTGATTAAAATGTAAAATATTTAAAATTTTATATTCAGTACATTCTCAAATCTCATGTAAATCTCATACGTCCAAAAAAAATCGCTATATTCATGCACCGAAGTGGAAAGGTTAACTTAATAATTTTGACGTTTTATGTTGTTTATTGCAAGGGCGTCGGCAGTGGTCCGACTGATCCGGTTTTGGCCGGACCAATAATTTACAACTCAATATCGTTTGTAAGCCAAATTCTACTTTCTCTGACGCAATCAAACATAACTTGCACATTCAAATTTGGAGGGGGCCGGCTGGGACCTCCCTCGAACATGCCACCTAGTGGTGAAACTAGGTTGACCTTTTTCGAGAGTGCAGTCATCACACAGTTTAAGTTAAGAATGCTATTTCTAGAAAAATAATGACCAAATCACAATTAGTTTTTTAAATGATATGAAAGACAGTGTATTGCAAAAATTATATAAAAATAAATTGTTCAAAATTTCTTATCAGTTCCATAATTATATGAAATAAGATGCTTATTCCTCAATGAATGAAAATAAAGTGCAAGAAACACCAACACATTGTATAATACAATATGAATAACAATGACTATAGGTCTATTATTTATACGAGTTGACGGATGTTGTGGAATCCCCAAGAAAAGATTCTAGATTCAAGAACACTTTATTGTCTTTTTAAAAATAGGAATGTGTTTTTCCTTTGCAACAGTCTTGGTTAAGAAGGATAAAATTACATTAAAAATCACACGACAAAACAACTTGGCAATGACGAGAAATACATTAAGATATTAACAATTTAAAATAGTAAAGTAGTAAAAAGTCAAAATAAAAATCACTGTTTAAAATGGTATAAAATTTACTATGTGTACCTCAGAAACAGACCAGCCATTTTAGTAAAGATTAAAACTATAAAAACCTAGCATTTTGCTAGAAAATAATGACAGCATGCACATTCCATGACAAGGAATGTGCGCCTATTATATTTATACGAGTTCACGGATGATATTGTGAAATACATGTAAAAAGATGTTGCCTAATTAAATTAACATGTGTTATGAATACACAGGGACACAGGGTACAATATGCTATGCATTTTTAGGAAACCTATTAAATCTCTTTTGAAATAAGCTAGGTGAATACGTTAGATTTTCAAATAACAGACTGCTAGTAGGTCTATATTATTTAGTATTATTGTTTAGTAAAGTTTTGGTTTATTAATGGCAGGAGGATCATATGTATGTAGGTATTCCCATCATATGGACAGATCTACCAGGTAATAAGTACTCAATAGAGCGATAATAATCAGGGGCATCAACTTTGGGTGGATGGTCAATATTAGAATAAGGTACTGTAGGTTTCTACAGGGGTTCTACTTAGGCCCTACAACAGTCCCGGTTATTGTGGTAGGACAAACGCCAGGGAAAATCAGCAATTTTGATTAGATATTCTGATATAGATACGGTACTTATTAATCAATTCAACTGATCGATTTAAACTTTTTTGATTCAAAAAATTACTATGACATGTCCCCGGGCCGCCCAGTATACATGCGTACAACCGGACCCGTTGCTGAGCTATGGCCCTGGTTCGAGACGAATACGAGTCAATTCTTTTATATTAGTTTTGCAACATACGAGCAGGCCGTATGCAGTGGCGTCGAGAGCCAGTAAGGGCCCCGGGGCAACACCTCATATGCCCCCTCCCCTTTCACTTGGGACCCCCACTCGGCCGCTCCCCAAATTAAGTCTCCTCCTAAGACCATATTTGTCCAAACCCACATACATGAATATGATTCCATGTGAACAAAAGTTTTCATCCTGGCTTGGGCTCGGGCCCTATGGAGGTTTTGTTCTTAACCCGAAAATTTTTCATCTTGGTCTGGGCCCCCCAGTAGACACGGGCCCCGGGGCAGCGACCCTCCTGACCCCACTCTCGACGCCACTGGCCGTATGGTAATAGGCCTACATCGGCTAGTGTAAAACATCATTTTTTAATATATCATTTCCTACTGTTAAAGCAATGTTTAACTACTACTTTATTACTTGTACGTACGTTAATTATGAAATACCATGGTGACAAATATAAATGATAAAGCATGAATGGTTAAATGATTAGTACTAATAAACTAATGAAACTAGAGATACTATGTTCAATAGGACATGAACCCAGTCATTTTTTAAGAGATAACCACTGTGACTTTTAAGCTCAACCTGTGTGAACACCCCATGTTTGGTAGGAGTCTGTCTAATGCAATTGGTCAAATCATTAGTCACTACCAATCAAAATTAAAACTTTTCCTGTATTTGCGACAAAAACTCATTCAGATAAATTTGATCTACACCTTATGCACGAACGCACTAACCGCAGAAAACTCGAAATTCGTAGCTGCTATTGGCCTTAAGCGCGTGACGTCATTCATAGACAGGGTAAAAACAATTCCGAATACAAAATTTTAAAGAAAAAAGTGATCAATGTTATTTAAGTACGAAGCCCCATTAGGGACATGGGAATTTAAAAAATTATCTCGTACGTACGACTTATTATCTCGTACGTACGACTTATTATCTAGTACGTACGACTTATTATCTCGTACGTACGACTTATTATCTCGTACGTACAACTTATTATCCCGTACGTACAACTTATTATCTCGTACGTACAACTTATTATCTCGTACGTACGCGTTATTAACTCGAGTCATTGATAGGCCTATCATACCATCCACGTTTGCAAGACGACGACGAACTGAACACTTTCTCTGCTCTGACACTGACAGACCTGAGATTGTATTACCCGCATACCCGTGCCGCATATAATGGAAGGTGAAGGAGAGGTACAGTAATTAAGCAAAGGACCAATTTTAGCTACATAGGCCTAGGTGTTCTAAATGGGTGTCAACAGGCGCGAGTAGGCCCTACTGAACTTGTGTTGGTTGGGTGTTTAGCATGCACCTGGCCGGTCAGCCGGGCGTTTTGTTGAATTAAATAAAGTGGGCCCTCTTTGTTGAAATTAGTTTCATAACTTCATAACTTCACATCATGCACATATGGGCCCCGACCAGGAATTTTATGGTGATTTTTTGTTAAACGTTGGAAATAATTCAAATAACATATTCTGCTTCAATACTGAATAGTATTATTTAGGTTGTCTAAATGTCGTTTTTTAAATGTACCTAAATTCTAAATATTCAGTATGGTAACGCATCGCCAGTTCTAAGATGTAACGAACTTACACTGTACAAGCAGTAGGTTGACCAATATATACAAAAGAAGTCTGACAATCAGATGCGGGAAAGTCATGGCAAGTATTTTTGTATCACTGGTCAGTGTGATCGTGTATGGATACATGCATCGATAACCCTGTGAACAATCAATGACAATAATAGGCATCTTTAAACTAATGGAAGTAAAATAACAACTTTTGGATACCAATTTAACAGCCCTCATAAGATTATGGTAATTGACATTAGATCAGATAAATCATGTTTTTTCTTCTTCTTGTAAATGTATTATTAGATATAAAAGACTCTTTTCGTTATATTCTAATTGAATAACCCCCTTCCCGTTGTTATTTGGTAACATCAATAGGCTTGGTAATTATATTATACTAGTAATTTCGTATTTCTTGTATATCCATAAAATCTTAACATATGCAAAATACCTTGAAGGAATAGTTTAGTCTACATGGAATTTCTACAATTGGACTTCCTTCACAAATGACTTTTTGTATTTTTCTACTTTTCTATTTTATTACCATAATACATTTTGTGCATTTTTACTTCAGGAAAAGGAGAAACACTAGTAAGAGAAAAAGAGAACTGTTCGCTCAGCTTAGGAAAACTAGGACAATGTGATGATAGCAGTAACACAGAAACAGACGAAGACAGCTCTTCACGAAAGAAAGCAGCTTTTGGTAATCACAATGCAATGAAGGAAAAACGAGCTATTGAGATTGATTGGGTACATGAAGGGCATCAGGTTCGAGTCAAAACAGGAGGTGGAACTCCAAATCAAATCGTAGCCGCCTCCTATAAAGGACTCATCAATTGAGTTTAAGTTTTAGTACAATAATTTTAACTGTGTTCTTAATTTTGTACCGTATATAAAATGTAACTCAATATTCATAGCAGTAAATTAATTACTTTTATATGATAATGATATTTAAAATAAAAAGGCATTCGAAATTAGAAATTATGACTTTTGAACAATTTTTTTAAATCATTATTTACAACTCTCTGTAAATTAATTCGTGCAAAGTCCTGTATAAACGCATAGCTTCATGTGGTGTAGATGGGAGACGGAGATCATTTTCTTCCATTAAGAGGCAGCATATCTCAAAGACGGTTGAATCACTGCATGACTGATCTTTGAAAACACAATTATCGCTACAAACTTCAACTTCGAGCTCATCTACTGGAACTAGTTTATCCTCAGTATTGTACAACTCCGGAGATGTGTACATGATGATGGGTTTTCCAGCCGGTTCTATCATGTTATGATGATGCTGAATTCGATGACAGTCCCATATCTGTGTAACCTCGTCTAGTTCATCCTAAAACAAAAATAAGGCAAAAAATGTCAAACATTTTCCGCCTATAAATTAATTATAAGGAAAAGGGAAGATGAAAAATCTCGTGAGTATTTGGATAAAGGAATCTACCATGTTCATAAATTTATTAAACAGTAGGTATATAATTATTCAGTATATTCAGTTCCTTCCCCAACCACGAACTGGAAAATAATAAGCAAAGTTGCATTTATCTAAACCAAATTGTATTGGTCAAGTACACTTAATTTTAAACGTGGTTCTTTTGCTAAGTGCTGCTCTCGAGTAACCACCGCTGCGGCGGCGCGTATTTGAAATTAGTACTCTATAAATTCTATTTCATGAACACTGATATAATCGACGTCGAACTCCTCGATATCATGTATGCTCATTGAGTGCCAGACATCATTGCCAATTAAAATATTTTTAAATAGAGTCTTGATATAAAATTGAAGCTCAGAAAAATGTGATTTCACTCCAACTTCATTCATGAACAAAAAGTTATGAAGCGCCGCCCCTGAACTGGTATCGAATAAGCGCCGCACTGAAGTTTATAAAAGTTTTTAAGCGTCGCGGCGCGTATTCTTCGAGCATTTACAGTACAGTATTACATAACGTTGTACAGTCGTACATCTCTTTTACAAAGCTAATAATGCCTACAGTCTGTATACACAGGTTCTCCATTGTTTTCAACAAGTTTTGAAATTATGAGTGTAATAAATGTTCTGTGCAGTCGCCCGATTCAAAGGATTCAGTCACTTTCGACCTTGCCCAGTTCCCCAACCAAATTTGGCGACCATCGATTACAAATGATTGTTTTAATTCCACCAGTTTAAATATAATGAAAAACGCATATCTTGCAATAACGATTGGAGAACATTGTTTCAGATATTCAGATACCACGAAAACCCAGCTGAGACCATGTCCCAAACATCTTGAAACCCCACCTACACCTCTGCTCATTGAGCAGCCCCACCCCTCCCCACAATCCATCGCTGGATCGGCCCCT